CATCGGCTACTGCGAACTGGTGAATACCATTTCATGAATCTCAATATGGCCTGAATTCGTCAATTTTGTAAGTCTTGGTGGTTGCCAGATAGTTATCACGCACGAGTTCGTTACCTCCGCCCTGCTCGTGAGAACCGAAAATATTTGTGAGTCTTCTAGGCTCTTCTAAGAAGCAGGGAATACCGCCCAATTGCGCTTGGGTGGTTGTGCATCCCTAACCAATTCCCTCCCAGGCCACTGTCTGAATGGGCATGGGTGTAGACACTTTGGCCCAGCTCGAAGCTAGAGGGCACACCCGCGGCCCAGGCCAGCAGCAAAGCGGGCGAACACTTTCCATTTGGGAAAGACCCTGCCACTGCATGAACGTTGAGGCACTTGCGAGTGCATGTGGCAGCGCTGCTGGAGCGTCTTCTCGCTTGCTGCTGCGCTAGCGTTAGTACCTAGTCGCGCGCGGGCTTCAGTGGAAGTAGGGCCTTGCAAGAATGCAGCGCCATAGTCCAGCCCCCATAGCAGGGTTTGGGCTTGGACATGTTCTGTGGGGTTTAGCGGTGGTCTTCGATTGGTGTAGAGCCATGGGAGGAGAAGACGAGGGTAAGCAAGAGAGGGCGAGTGAGGGAGGTGATGTGAGGGCACATACCTGGTCTTGGCAGAGGTCAACATGGTCGAAATCTGCATGCATACCGGTTGCTGCTGCTAACGTCAACTAGTTGTTCATCATTTTGTAAGTCAGTAGAGTATCTGAAAGATCGTAGTCTGGGCGTTGAGCGCCAATAGGAGGAAGAGTTTCGATTGCATTGTTGGTGGTGGTAAGAGTATGCTTTCGTTGACAATTGAGTTTGCTGCTTGGATTCTCCTTCGGTGTGACATCAGCGCATTTCTGCTTTTTGGACAACTTTCGACTATTCGACTTTCAGTGTGATTTTGCAATCTGGAACTCAGTCATTTCGTCGTTGCTCATTTTCCTTGCAATTTGGTATCAGAGATGGTTCAAGCAACTGCGCTAGCTGGTTGGTGCTTCCTCATCAATGACGAGGCAGTGATAAGGCTTGTGCGTTGGGTTGTTAGGTGGCCCGGTGTCGAGAGGCCGCACCAGGAAGGCTATGTGGTGACATAGGGGTGCACGCGGGATGATGAGAGGTCACTGACGTGGCATTTAAGCTGAGGCGGAACTGCATTATATTGTGGGTTGTGTCGAGGCACCGACAGGTCATCATACATGCACGTCATGTTTACATGGTGATAAATATATGGTTGGGGGCAGCATTATGAGGTACATTGTTCCTTACCTTATCTACCGTCTTCGATACTTCTCGCCGTGAGGAAGTGTGTCTTGTCTTGAGAGTCCTCTCATAGTGAGGCATTGCTAGCGCTCAACCCTGAGCGTCGACATTCTTCCTTGGGAGCATGCTGGTGGGAGATGGGCATTGCTTCTGCAGAGCCCTAGACGAAGCACTTGGGTCAGGGTGTCGAAACCCTTAGTTCTCGAATCAATCCCCGACCCTGGAGACGGGGTATACGACAAGGATGTGCACGGCAGGAGAATCCGGAAGAAGGGGGCAAGAGAGAATGGAAAGACCAGACGGACGGCAAGAATGGGACTGCCGGGATCAAGGATGCCGAGATAAGACCCGGGACCGCAGGGACCAAGGGTCTCAAGATGGGACTCAAGACCAGTAGGACACAAAGACGAAGGAAGAGAGGACTGCAAGTGGACAAGAACTTGGATTAGACTAAGGAAGAAAGCCAATAACAGATCGGCAACACGGGAGCATGATTGTTTTGAACTTGTATAATCATGATTGTTACATTAAATTTTTCCTTCAACTTTTCATAAATGAGCATTGTTTTGTCATTCCTTCAACTTCGCATTTCTAAGCTTTGATATATGAACATTGTTTCGTCCTTATTTTGCTTTGTCGTTATTTCGCTTTGTCGTTATTTTGCTTTGTCATTATTTCGTCTATAATTTCCTCATTTCGTTCTGTCATTTTACAGTTAAAAAAAAAAGTGAACATGAAAATAATTTCACTTATAACGAAAACACCGTTGTATAGAGTTGTTGTAGGCACTAGCAACCTTAGGCAAATGTTCATCCAGTCAATCTGATCGGGACGAATATACATGCGCAATGTCTGCTGCAAGATTTTGTTCATTTGCTCAGTCTGGCCGTTAGTCTCAGGATGTCTACCTGATGACATAGTCAACTTAGAGCCATAGACATTCATTAGTTGCTGCCATTGTTCACTCGTGAACCTTGTATCTTTGTCACTTACAATAGTCATGGGATGTCCAAAGTTTTTTACCCAGTGGTTAAAGAACTCTCGAATTACGAGGTCAGTCTTTGCTTCCGAAGGTAAAGCTACAAAGACAGCATACTTCGTGAATCTATCAACAATTACCATCACTTGCGTTTTCTAATTCCTGCTTTTTACTTTAGTGTCCATAAAGTCTATAGATACAGAGTCTCTGGGTCCTGTCGGGATAGGCAAAGGCTTGAGCAAACCAAGGGGAGTTTGCGTAGTGCTCTTGTTTCGTTGGCACACTTGACAACCTTGCACATAAGAAATGCAATCAGGCTTCATTCGAGGCCAGATATAGGAACGCAAAAAATTCCCAAAGGTCTTCTTCCAACAAAAATGACCTTCAGTATCGTGACATTCCCCTAAGATCACACTTTTGATCTCTTCCACATTTGGTATGCATAGCCTATCATTCACATCAGTTCTTTCAAACAATAGACCCTGAGTAATTTTGTGATTGGGAAACTCTGCTGGCACTTCTTGCACCCGCTTAATCACCGTGTCATAGACAGGATCAGAGGGATACGCATTCCTAATCTTCTCTTGTAAGTCGGCACCAATATCTAGATATGTCACAATGGCACCGAAAAAATCAGATCTACGACTTAGTGCATCAGCAACGACGTTGTACTTACCCTTTACCGGCTTCAGCTCAAAATCAAACAGGTCAATCTCCGCAGCCCACCTTGTTAACTTAGGTATCATCCAAGCTTGGTTTTTGAGCCAGCGAAGTGTTTCATGGTCGGAGTATACCTTAAAATGCCTTCCCAAAAGATAGTATCGCCAATGATTGAGAGCCTCACGAAGAGCATACAACTCCCTCTCATACGTCGAAGCGGCCACTTTCTCATTAGGCAATCGACACGACATAAACTCTACAGGTCTGTATCCATGTCCATCATCTTGCTGGAGTACAGCACCTATACCATATTGACTAGCGTCGGTTGTGACAACGAAAGACGCTTGAACGACATCATGCAATCTGAATCTCACTTCCAAATTATTTTTTTCTTAAGTAACCTACGAAGGGAAGCAGCCATTACCATGAAGTGTTTTACGAACTTCCGATAGTAGTTGGCTAACCCAAGGAACGACCTCAACTCAGTCAAAGTGCGGGGGCTCGGCCAATCTCTGATTGCTGCTATTTTTGCATCTTCCGTTTTGACCCCATCTCAATCAATCACATGTCCCAAGTACAAAACCTGACACTTGGCCCATTCACACTTCCTTGGGTTTAACTTAAGTTTTGCTTCTCGCAACTTATTTAGCACAAGTCGAAGGTGCTCAATATGTTCTTTTTCATCCTCGCTAAAAATCAGAATATCGTCTAGATAGATAACAACGAATTTGTCAAGCCATTCACGAAAAAGTTCATTCATCGTTCTTTGGAAATTAGCAGGGGCATTTGTTAGACCAAAGGGCAAGACTATGAACTCATAGTGCCCATACCTTGTCCTGAAGGCAGTCTTATATTGATCCTCCGGTTCTACCTCAATCAGATGGTAGTCTGATTTCAAATCAATCTTTGAAAATATCTTGCAACCCTGCACGCGATCCAACAAATCATCTATTCGTGGTAATGGTTCATCATTTTTCACTGTTATATCATTCAATCTTCTATAATCTATGCACATGCGAACGTCGTCATCCTTCTTTGGTACAAAGAGCACAGGCGCACCATAGGGCGAGGAACTAGGTTTTATCCATCCATTCTTTAGCAGCTCATCGAGCTGGGTTCGCAGTTCATCCAATTCTTGGGGTGACATACGATAGATAGGCCCCTTAGGAGGTGAACTCCGGAACAATATCAATGCGATGCTTAATGGGTCTTTCCACTACACCGCTCGGGGCCTCAGCCACATCTGCGAACTCTTTCAATATTCTTTCAATTTCAAGGGACTTAACCTCTTCCTTACTTTCCCCTTCCTTTACTGGGCGAACATATGCAACGAAGACTTGATCATACAAGTTATATCTTTTCGCATGGCGAGTGAACGCTGGGGCACTCATGCAACAATGAGCTAGGCTGCTTTCCTTTCCTGATTCATGATAGAGACGAATTTTCTTTTTGCCTCCTTGCGGACTTGGGAGCCAACATTCATGGTCCCTCAGCTTTAGATCCACATTCGCAGCCTCACCCCAATCCATGCCTAACAACACATCAAAGGGCAAGTTATCTTCCACCAAGAAGGTCAGAGAGTGGAGAACACGTTCCACCTTCCCCTCTGCCTCGAACCGAAAGTATACTTGAACCCCCTCGACGTATCGATCCATGGCGACTTCACTACTGTTAGCTAACTTACTTACAATGGGCTCATTCAATCTCGTAACCTTAAGCCCAAGGCGCAGTTTTTGCAACCCTTTCTTACTAATGTAACTGTGTGTAGATCTACTGTCTATCATACCTCCTACTCTTACTTTGTTTATTTCAAGATCTGCAATTATTAACTGTCCTTTCTTCTTTTTCATTTCAGTCCAGGCTTGGCGACGAGCGGCCAACTCATCACCCACRCCARCGAGGGATCCATCTAGAGAGATGCATACGCTTGCCAYCTCTGGACAGTGCACTAGATGGGGACTGGTTCCTTCCTCTTCAGTCTCTGCCATTGGGGCCTTCGAATGGGAGGATTCTGATTTTTCAACATTCGAAGCCCTGGTAGAGGCAACTGGAACCTCTAATGGTTGTTCCCTTTTGCCCCCCTATAGTCGGGGCAATAGGGGACAATGTGGTTGGGGTCCCAACATTTCAGGCACTGGTCGACGACTTTCCTTTCTTGCCACACTTTTTCTGTGATTCCCAATTTCTTTCAAGGCTCCCCTTCGGGTAGACCTGGATGTGGTGGGTATGGCTTATCCCACTTATTATACCACGTGCCTCTTCCTCTACCCCAGGTGGAATAAGTACCACGGCCACCTTGCGAGGGACCATTTCCCCTTCCTCCCACGTAGTGGCTTCCTTCGCCACCACCCCTCTGGGTGCCTGATCCTCGTCCACCACGGCCGCGACCTCCTCTTCCTCGGCCACGCCCTCTTCCTTGACGCCCTCCCCCGCGGGCTACAACGGCCGCGTAACTCCCCTCCTGAGCTACCGGTCCGCTGAGTTCATTGAGTCCATAATCTACCTGGTCCCATGAGATGGTCTCGACGCCTTCTTCTTCAAAGGTTAGAAGGAGACTATCCTTCCCAGGTATAGACCTTGAGATAGTGCGGTTTTGCCACTTCTTTCCCGCTTGCAGATCTTTCCAGTAGTGGCAGTAATTTGCTTCGGCGAGGAAGCCATCATAATCTATCGCGATCTTGCTGAACTTCTCGTAAGTCATTCCATCTTCCTTGACTTGGGGATAGAGTTGTGTTCGCAGGGGATCAGGGAGTGCTCGTGCAAAGTTGTTCAAAATTTGGGCAGGTGTAAGGCCATGGTCGGGGCATTGTAACAATTCATCCATAGTTGCTTTCAGGGCGGAGGTGCTCTTCCATTTCCTATCAGGGAGGTTGAGGATCAACATTTTTGTGCGACGAGCTAAGTTCTTGTCATCAAATCGTTCTCGAACTACTTTAAGGAAGTCTTCAATCCTAGTTTGTTGTGAGAACTCTACTAGTGAGTTGCAACCTGCCTCTTTCTGCAGCGAGATTGCGAAGCTCATGGCATCGCCTCCCATGCACGAACTCGCCATCAGCACCCTGTCCCAATATGGGATTCGCTGCCCGTATACGTATGACTCAATTGCTGCGATCCAGTGGAGAACACTTTCATCCTTTTTCCCGTTATATGTCCATGGCAGTTTGAGTTTAATCTTGCTGACCTTCCCTACTTCCTGTGGAAGTTTTCCTTTCCGATCGGGATCCCCTTTCCCCTTGTTGTCATCATCACCGTCATCGCCGCCATCTCCTCCTCCGCCTCTAGCTCCCTTGACAATCTTTTCTACAACCTCTGGAGTGAAGGTCTTGGTGATCTGTTCATCTAATGCTTTGATATAAGTCTGGATATGCTGGTCAACGTCCTTTGCTGATTTTTCCAGGAAGTTGTTCCAAACAGTTTCAAACTCACTCCGATGAGTCTCTACTTTCTGTAGCGTCTGATGCATCAAGGTCATTTATTGCCTTGTGTTGAGGAAGGCCTCTCTGAGGAGTGCAAGTTGTTCCTCCGTTGCTAAGGGTTTATCTTTCTGACCTTCTAATGCTCTTTGCAATTTCTCCCCCTCTGCCTGCAGCCTCTTTTTTTCTTCCAATTCTTGCCTCTTGGCTGCTAGCAATTTGTTATGCAGTTCGGCCCTCTTCTCCTCCAACATCAAATTTCGTTCAGCCAAATCAGTTACGGTGGACAGCCTGGCAATGAACACATCTCGCTCTTCTTCAGACTCACGTAAGGGTTCGCTGGTGTGGGAATACTGACCAGCCCAGTCCAGCGGTTCAACTGAAAGCCGGTTTGCTGCAGCATCACTACTCTCAGGTAAGTCAAGGCGACGATGTCTTTCTAAAGTCTCCCCTTCTTCTTCTTGGATACTCTTCAGTTCTTCTTCTAATTCCTTCTCCATCTTCTCCTTCGGTTTCCTTTTTGCTTCTTCTTCTTTGTGTTTCTTCTTAGCTTCTTTCTCTTTCTTCTTCTCTGCCAACCTGCGGTCAATTTCTTTTTGTTCTTCGGGCGTGGGGCCCAGCTTAATGTTCCCTGACCTCATCATCATTCGAGAGGTGCAGGTTCTCCCAAATCCCAATGGAAAGAATAGGCCCCATTAGAACAGAGAGGGCCAACAGTCCCTGGATGGGATAGTCATCCATGATGATGATCGGCACAGGGGGTCCTCCGCCGGTTCACCACGACACTATCCCACTCAAACTTACTTTACTAACTCAGTCTTGACTTGTGGCGAATGGAGTACTGGATTTCGTTTTGTTTTTTTTTTCTTCTGTCTGGTTTTCCTGGATCAGACTCTTGCAATGTGTTTCCTGTATCTTGCTGTACTTCCCCCTCTATGCTTTATTGTTTGACTAACTGGCGTTGGCTGTTTGGATGCAGGTATGGAGTCAAAGCGCAGAAGGGTCAGATGCAGATGTTACACGTAGTCAACCAAGCAATAGTACTTCGCTTAAATTTTTCTTTCTTTCTGACTTAATTAGTCCTGTAGATGCTCATCATCATACTTGCACTGCCTGGGACTTGCGATCTGACGTGGCACATAGCCACTACCTACACCGATTTACAGTCTTGACACAGCCTACCTATCAAGAGGGATAGGAGAGATGGCTCTACCTCTACCTGCAGAACGCTGACCACCCCAATCTGACGTGACCAGATCCTGACACACTGCATTCGGACCACCCAGACTCTGACGACTCAAACTCTGACACGTTGGTGATCCAGATCCAGACTCGACTCCAGACCAGCAGCAGTCACCTTCAGAGGGGAAGAGAGAGAAGGTAGGGGACACACGCATGCATGCAGGTTAAGGGCAGGAGGTGCTTCTCTCTTGTTGAAGATACCGCCGATGATGCTCCTCAACGCTCCGCACGCTCCAGATAAGTGTCATAGCCCCTTCTTCTTCGACCTGCTCCCTCTACTAACCAAACTCTTCTTCTCCTCCCTTCCTCCTACTCGTCCTCCATCACCACACTTCGATGCTTCTCCTCGCCGGCCTTGAACATGCCAGCGCTATGAGTGCAACGAGCAGTCGGCTCCGATACTAAATTTTGCATGGGTCCTGGAGACCATCTCACGCAAGAGTGTTCACAACATGCACCATCATCACACACAATGAACTGAAGTCTTCACACGTTTGACAAAGAGGTAAGAAGAGAACCGAGTTACGCAGCTTATATTATCAAAAATATGATTACAAAGAGTGTCACAGTTTCCTGAGTTCAAACGCTCATCAGCGCAATACGAATCTCTCATCCAACTCAACAATGTGACTTCTACACATCAGCGCCACCTTCGCAGATCAAATCCAAATCAGGTAAGTATTCACCATAGCCGAACCTCTACTGAACACTCTCTGTCTCAGTTCCTTCTTCCTACTATGCATGTACACTCTCTTCTCTCAAGGATCTACTTTGAATGCTACTCATAGAAGATTACTACTAACCCTCTAAGTCTACTACTAACTCGTTGGGCAGCTATGGCTGCTTCTCTTCCCAGCGCCCAGTCTGCTTCCCTCATCTAGCGCATCTTCATCCTCCAGCGCTGCTCCTCCTGGCTGGCGCACAAGTGCTTCAACACTTCCACGCATAGAATGCCAGTAGAGATCTGGCGTGAAATGAGGCTGGCTGCTTCCTTTATAGTCCTGGCCTCCTCTTCGTTGGGTCTGCATTGGCTCATTCAGGCCTTCCTTTGTCCCAGACCCTGCATTGCATGTGTCCCAGTACTGTCCCAATGAGGTCTGCTGCTGCTGAGGCCCTTCGGCCTGGATTCTGGACTTGGACGTCTGGATCTGGACGGTTTCTCAGACTTAGACCAGACTGGGACTCTGTTTATTGACTTACTTTTGAACAGGCACAACTTTGGACGAACAGACGCACTTACTGCCTGAACAGACATCTATATTGTGTGAATAGACACTCTCCTTTGCACGAATAGACACACTGACTGCACGTACAGACACACTCCTATCTGAACAGGCATGACATGTGCATCCTCTGGCGAACAGGTATGACCTTTGGCAATGACCCTTGGCACTAACTTCTTCCTTTAGTTTAGATGTGTCCTTTGACCAGAGAACTTGACCTTTGATCTATTTTCTCGTTTCCTGGGTCCTAGCGAGATACCCCTTCACGTTGCTTTACTTTAACAAGGCCTGAATCGGGTAAAGGCCCTTTTATCTCTCTGGCGTCCCTCTTCTACCTCCCTCCCTCCCTCTTATTCTCTCTCGTCATCAAAGTGGAAGTGATCAACGAAGATCCGTCCAGCAAGGGATACTGCTCTTGCTGTGGGCGAAACATCCTTTCCTGCATGAATGCCGCCAATCTAGAGCTTGCGTCCCTCTTCTCCCTCCCTCCCTCCGTCTTATTCTCTCTTGTCATCACAGTGGGAGTGATCAACAAAGATCCGTCCGGCAAGGGACACTGCTCTTCTATTGAGCGAAACATCATTTCCTACATGGACTCTAGCCAATCGGACTCTCCCCGTGGCCCCAGCCTTTCCAGCTGTACATAGCGTTTTCGTCATGGTTACCGTCCGGACGTCCGGACCGGGTTCTAGACAGTCCGGTGTCCGGTGTCCGGTCCTTATGTCTGGATGGAGGCCCCTAGGGCAATAAAAAAAAAAAAAAAAACGGGGCGGCCCAGGACGTTTATCGGGTCCTGGCCGCCCCTCGAAAAATAACGGGGCGATTTTTCAGTGTCTTTTCACCCCACCGGACAAGGCCTAGAGGTCCGGACACAAGACACTGCAGGTTTTTGGGGTGCTGGGTTTCGCACAGGCCAGAGCAATTTCAAAGCGGC